AATGAGAACTTAAACTCATTAAGACTACAGCCGAAGGTCGTTTCTAGGGTTGTAAAGAGGGTTTCTGTTAGAATAAAAGATGCAAGATGCTGTGATTTCTAGATTAGCTCCCGAAATAGAGTTCGAGAGGAAAACAAGCGTACTAAAAGTCACGTGATTCTCAAATTAGCTTTTACGACCTGAACGGCAAATGCCGTGAAAACTGGAGGTTAAAAGAGCCTTAAAAAACCGGAATTTCAGACAGTTCAGCGTTTTCTGTGAAAAGGTTTTATCAATTGAACAGATCAAAATGCAACCCAGAGTAATGAAGGATTTGTCTTAATTTCAAAAAGGAAATTCGTCGTGGATATAGTAAATCAGCGTTAACCAAAAAGCTGGGAAGCACTGTACAGCTGTTTTGACCCAACCAGATCGAAAAAGCTGTCCAATGTTTCCTAGCTTTGGAGTTCGCGCTTCATTTGCTATATACAAGACGAAATTCCCCTTTGAAATCAATCTCTAATTGATGTTTGAGTGGGTTAAGGGATTACACTTTGTTAACCTGACGAATTGAGGAGCTTTCTTCCGGACGAGGTTTTACGTATAAATTTTTCGAATTTTAACCGACATTCAGTAACACTTCTATCTTTCTCCTCAAAATATGACAGAAACAGCAACCACCACATTACTCAGCACATAAACCGTAGCGGACAATATATTGAGCGTTAAAACTATCGAGCCTTTCTTCGCATATTTTCGGATTCCCAGCTTATTTAAACCTCAATATATGACCTTCAACTTCACAGCGTTTCTCATTTTGCACGGATTGAGATCGATTGGTACAGGACATCATCGCTTTGACTCCTGTTTCCTGAGTTCGAAATCCGCCACCGTGCCCCTAATTTCTCAATTATTCAATGGCTGTCTTAACCGACCTGTGATGCCCTTCTCGAACGTCGGTGACACACCTGTTGAATATCAACTAACGGAGTTGAATCAATGTTTGAATAATCTATGAAACGTCCAAGTGCTTTACTCATTCACGTTATTCCAACATAGGCATCCAACTTAGTTGCAATCGCAACGCTAAGCGGCAGCCTGTGGTTTTATTGACACTGTCAACCAATTCAAGTGCTGAGATATCCTCAACAGCCTCTCCCTCAAAGACTGGTTCTTTCGTGTTGAAGGCTATAGAATCTAGGACGAGCTGAAGAACATGATACGACCCATTGATCTGATTCACATATTTGTACCTATGCATGTGTTCGCGTTGAGCGTCCGAGTGCTTAAGCATCAGAAGATACTTTCTAACTAAGTTTAAGAATAGGGACATGCGAGGATCTAGATCTCGGACACGAGTGGTTATAGAGAATAAGAGTCAAGTACATGGGAAATTTTATACAATAAGATGGTCCATGGATTATGGTGAAACGGCAGTGCGACGTCGGATGGGCTTTGTTAGGTATTCGTAGAACTGTTAGCACGATTGCAACACAGAACATTTCCGGCGTACTTTTAATATATATTCTACGTCTGCCGTTCGAGAAGGTCGCCTAAAGTAGCTTTTTAAAACCACTTTGGGATTTACCTTTAAGAAGAGTAAAGATGTGATGCATTTCGATGTATGTACAGTAGAGGATCGACCGGCTGAAATGTTGAGAGGGAGTGTACCTGTGCCTAGGCTTTGTTGGGTCTCATCGGCATTGTGAACTCAACGACCCTCACCTTCACTTCCATTCTCATTTGCTTCCTATATCAATAAAGGCGGATTATAAATCACAAACATATTATATTGCTGTGGTGTTCCGGGCTTATAAGGTGACGCGTACCCTGGAGCGGCGTGTTACAGTTTTTGGAGAACTGCGATCAATCAAAATTCACGAGTGACGTGAACGACGCGCGTACGTGTCACTGCTTCTGACCACACCATAGGTAGATCGTACCAGCCAATCAGAGACAGTGCGACCAAGACAGAAGCAGAACGATGCAAGCAATACTAGAGCACGATTGGTACAAGCCCGGATAGCCAATGAACTTACTTTGTACTTATTGTTTAATCTCCTTAATTTCTTCTACTAGATGAACTGGGGCCTTTTCCTCGCGTCTCAGGTAAGTAGGATATTGCGTGCCAGTGCGGTTCAGTGCTTATGTGATCCATCCCGTGATCGCTTATCCTTGAATCTTACTCCGTGATCCATTTCGCGTGGTTCGTATTCTGAGTCCACTCCGTACTACTACTACTACCATAACTACAATCACTATAATTACTTAGTCACTTTCATAATGCTTTTGAAAATCTCATAATCTTCAGAGGTAAGTGCTAATGTGAACGAGGTCTTATATCCGCAAAAAAATTGTAGCTATTGGTTGTGCTCTATCGCGTAATGACAAATTTAACTACCAGAATGAACACTGAGTAGTTTGCTTGCATGGTTTAAAAGAATAACCCATTTCATTAACAGCACATGGAGCATGTAAGTGCACCACTTATGGTCCGGAATGAAAAGTATTGAATAAAACGAATCGATAGTTTGAAATTAGTGCACAGAAATCTAATCGACCACTGCTTGTGGTAAATGACCTTCAAAATACATGAACAAGTGAACACAGATTACAGATCCAACGCAATTCTGAAAGAATTTGTGCATTTTTTAGGAAGGGATGTATGGCAATAGGTGCGCCAAAATAAAATTCGCGTCATAGTCTATATACCCTCAAAAATAAAAATGTCTAACGCAAATAAATATGGAAGAACATAAAATGGACGATTCCATTTTCCTCCAGTGGTTGTATGATTACATTCACGTTCATCGACTGAATGAGAGCGATCAATTCACGACTAATATGCACAGACAGCCCTTTGACCCGGCCCACATAGCTTGGAAGTGGAAACGGCTTTTGGCAGCAAACAGGTCCCAATAAACCCGATGACCGGATAGACTGAATTAACCAANCGCATAGACGGTCATCTGTTTTTCGTTTTGCGCGCAATTTTACGAATGCAGAGTAGAGTAAAACTCAATGTTCAAAGTTGGTATGGTTGTCGATTTTGTGGGACTTTCGTCTACATTTTAGTACATGATATGATGTGAACACAATTTGTTCCACTTCTACCCATCCTCCACACAATCGAGTTTAAGACACATTCGATCAGCTGATCAATTGGGTGGATTTCGGGTGTCCTATGCGCGCACTCCCGCATCATTTCACTTATGTCACGTGTCCTTTTGCGGGTGCATTCTTGCAGGCCATGCACACACAACTGTCACACTGCTATTCTGTGATTGTCCTTGATCGATCAAGACAATCCCGAAAGGCGAATGAACTGGACGGCTGAGTGATAGAAACTGAAGACAATCAATGGGGAATCTGTAGACCCGATCCCACATCCACCGAAATAGAAAGTTTGCCAACATAAATACACACGATTTGTAGAAATAAACGTCAACTAATACAAATAGGTTTGATTTATTTTGGAAGCACGCAGTTGGAACTGACTCGTACCTTTTTAATCCTTTTGGGTTTACTGATATTTCCCAGAATGTAAAATAGCATTGCAAGGCGAACAACGTTAGTTACCTCTTTACTTTGAAAAAATAAACTCAATAGTTATGCTCAGATATACACTGAACAACACTATGGCCCCTACTGATCAATGTTTTGTCTTTTTCCCCGCTTGAACGTGAGATATTTTCAATTGACTAGAAAAATAAAGTTTGTACTGTTGGGATTGGTAGACAGATTTAATACAAATTAAGCTGATAACTGACACTAAAAATTGACTTTACCTTTGCGAAAATGGAACACGAGAAATCTAGTTTCAAAAGGTCAAGAGAATATTTGTCACCTAGTGTACTATTGAATAATCAATACGCTTGGATGCTGTGTGAGCAGAAATTCAATGAGGATCAGCTCTAGAGACTTGAATGTTAAATAAATGCGGAATCCTGACAAAAAGACATACAAGTATCGCGAAGGAGAATTCCGTTGAATTAGGTTACTCTCTCTTTTTGACTGACAGGGCAACCTGCTTCAAGAGAGGATCGTAATAGTGGATCGCCGTGCTATATTTTTTGTAGACAAACTTAACACCTGTGGAAGACGCTGATGCTGTGAGATTCTTCGTTTCCACATAATTAGTTCTTCGTTTGGATTCAGAGGCATTTGAACATAATCAAACAATCCTACAAGGTCATATATTTGTAATTCAATGAAAATCAGTGCGCGATATGCTTTTCTGGAGTATAAATGGCTTGCAGATCTCAAAAAGCAAGTGATGAACAGTCGGTGTGGACCCTGTAGTCGTGATGATCTACTGTTCTGTCAGAGAAATCGATAATCTAAAGCCCCTCTCGATGGTGAATGCACAACCCTAGAGATACCCACTACCAAAGTTGGTTGGCAGCGACGGGGTTCGAACCTCGGACCATGGGGTCCGAAGCATCACGGTGACAGCTACTAATACACCACATGTTTATCGGAGAGAAAAACCTGCAACGTTGTTAGCCATAGTAAGTCGCTGATCAACCTAATCTTTGAAGTGGTAGCAACGGTTCCATCCGTTAATGGGTGACAATTGTTAGTGGGCTCTGGTTGTCTGAGGTTTCGTAACCAGTATAATTTTTGATAATGCCATTACAGGCTTTTGACTGCTGTAACCAATGATATGCTTCGTTTTGCAGTGGTTTACCATCGATCTCGAAGGATCAGCAATATTCACCACTTCAGAATGATCTTGAAAATGGAAAAATACCCTGATATATGATCAAATTTTACTTAATTGGTATGTATTATTAGAACAATAGTGTTTGCTTCAGCAAGGTGTGTAGAGAAACCGAGAAACTAATTTCGTTCCTGAACTACAGTAGGGTTCCCTTTTTATGTTTCAACTTCCAGAATAAACACATTGTAGCAGTAAAACTTGTTACAGTAGGTTTGGTTTGCGATAGGATATTAACTTCATCTAAGAATGGAGGGTCACTTATAACTGTCAATACCAATGTCCCCTAGTCTGAAGAGAATTAGGCACTTCCGGTGTTAGGTTTTGTGATCAGTACCCCCTATTAGGGAAACGATTAGAAATGAATCGATTTGCGAACAGCATATCCCGAACGAATTATTCACTCCAATTCCATCAGCGCATTTTAGTCGCACGTGGCGCCAGACAGTTCAATAGTTAATCGATTTATTGAAATGGGTAATTCGATTTCTGTTCTGTTCGTTATTTGTGGTTTACCATATACGCCATGACTGCATGTTATTTTAATTGAACAAACAATCGATTGGTTCAATAAGCGTTCTATATGGTAGGCTTAACGTACAAAGGACCATATTAAAATAAACCAACAAGTACTGGACGGAAGTAAAATGAAAGTATACACTCAACTGTGTGTACACGTGCGTGCGTGCTAACATATTCAGGCAACATACCTGAATGCTATTCACTCGAGCTTCGTGGTCCGGTTGAATGGCAACTATGCGCTCGAACAAATGACTACGTTCTGCGGCAGTCGGTTCTCGAACAGTGCGCATGTTTGGAATGTTTTCGCTGGTGCTATTCTGTTGCACTGATCCCAATCTGCCAAACGAAATGTGGTTCAGGAGGGACAGTTCATTCGGATATGGGAGTGGAGGGGTGGAGAGAGAAAAATCAGGTGCATGAAACCGAGAGCAAGATACTCCGTACTGGACATCAACGCTGACGTGCAATGCGATAGGAACACAGGGTTTCATGATCTACAGTCAGTTCGTTCTAAAGGAATAAAAAGAAAACTGGAATTGGTTTCAAGTTATTGATCACGTCAGAACAGAAGTCTGTAATAAGAGAAATGGATGAAAGCCTTGGGCAGTAAACTGTGGTGAGCTCAGTAGTTCCGAGGTGTTATAAACAATACCCACATGAACTCGTCAAAATCACGAGCATGTTTTATTCGATAAGTTTAGTAAAGGTTTTAACATGCAATGTTTTTGAATAAAATGGCCCGGCATACTTCGCAAATCGGCTCGTATGAACAAGTTAGTATGTACACGCTTTGTAAAGTTGTTTCTATGACGAGGGTGAGCTAGGGTTGGTCCTGCATACTACTACTACTACTACTACTACTACTACTACTACTACTACTACTACTACTACTGATTTCTGTCAATGAAAACCTGTCGATTTGGAAACAATGTGATATTTGAAACGGAGGCCTATGATTTCGCATTCCCCATTAGACCGTGCGACACATTTGCTCAAATACGTTTTGATTCAGAGTTTGATTTGCCTGCCAATTCATGAATTCCCACCGGGTGGACTGTTTTGACATTCTGGTTTGTTTTGATACATTTGTCAGTTCAGGCACAATTAAGTTGTTGTGACAACGATTTCTACTTGAACAAAGCGTTCCTATTATTCTCTTACGTTAAGCAGTTTGGGAATAAGTGCAATTCAGTCAAGTTTATATTCCGTTGACAGGAGCAACAGAAAGTTTTCTCGAGCCATATTTCGGTAATTTAACCGTTATAGCAACACACGAAATCCTATTGACAACGTTTAATCCAATAATTTACTTTCTATTTGTTATGAACTATAACTAGTAGTTATCTATTTTTTTAGATAAACAACTATCTCCAAGCATGACCACTACCAAAATTATCATTCATTATCACTTTCGGTGGTTACTGGTTCTCGGCAATTGGGCGAGGATAGGAAACACGACCAGGCGATTCTGCCTCTGTATCGACCGAGGCGTTGCCCTGTACACTGTTACTAGTGGCCCAGTAAATTGTTAGAAAATTATTCTTCATGCAATGCTAATTCTTCACGTACTACGAAAGTGCCTTAGAAGCAGTGTACAACAGTGTTTTCTTTGTAAGGAACAACCATCAACACAAATCTCTTCAGAGTTCAGGACATTTGAAGTCCGGACATTCGTTTAATCTTCAGCAAATCGTTCAGTAATTCAGGGTCTAAGCATCAAGATGTAGTCTTCTTCTAAGGGAAAGATTATGCAGTGTACTGTTGGTGTGAGGCTAACCCCTCGAGGCGGTCTGGGTAGCCTAACAGTGATTCATGGGACTTACAACCCCTTGAGTTCCGTTTTGAGGTGTCCCCCAAGGTAGGTGGGTATGGTGAAGATTCTTAACGGAATTAAGACAACCGCGCAGTGGGTCCATAACTTTTCTATAATATTTTTAACTGAAATGTAAGTATACATGCTTACACAATTTACAAATACAATACAATGCAATACAAGTTATATGACTCGTTGTTTTATTGAATACTGATACGAGTATGCAGGATTTAGAATAAACGTTAGATTTGTGCTCTGTGGTTGTACACTTGGATGCGTTTGTGGAAAATGCACACACGTACTGACAGCTTATCTAATCAGATCGAATTCAAACCTTATACTGAAAAGTTCAAGGTAGCGTTTTCAATCCCCAAATACAAGTTTGATTCATTGGTCTGCTTTTTTCGATAAATCTTAGCACAACTTATGAACCTTATAAAATTGGTCAACTTTCTGTTTCAGTTTGACAACAAGTCATGGAATCCACTGAATTGAATCACAGGGACAAGTTGTGTGTGTGTGTATGTGTGCATAAACCCTCATCGCGTATCGGCTGTCATTGTCCCGACCAAGAGTCAACTAAACCTGCCCCTTCTCATTGGCCCGACTAGGGCGTACGAAAAAAGCAGACTTATTTGGTTTACAAACGGTCGATGTCGGGCGGCAGCAGTGGAAAAAAGATAGTTATGCTTCTCGAAAGACAGCCCTATCTATTCAAAACGCGCATGCAAGATTCGGGTCGATAAACGTTGGTACTGTTCACGTTTACCTGTTTAAAATTCACCTGTCATGCGACCTGAGGACTCCAGAGTCCCGTTAGATATTTGTATATCTATGACGGTGTCTGGTGCGGAATCGAGGATAAACAAAAAACCAAAACCAATATGGTCAAGGTAAAAACACTACAGGAGTTAACTGGTTGGCCGGAAATCTAACATTCGTTACGAATCTCTCACTTCATTTAAAAGGCAAAACCAAACCGTAAAACATGTTTAAACAAAATTTCACAATACCATTACTACTGGTTTACTGGTAATCATTGGCTTGACGAATCATATTATCCGAAGGAACCCAACTTGTGGCAGATGAGTGTGTTAAGTGAGAATCTTCCTGAGTTAGTCTATAACGAGTGAGTGACAGGGCTAGATTTGGCTCAGGGATGTCGGGCGGNGGGGGGGGGGGGGGGGTAGACCAATTCTGGTTGAGTTTCCCTAGGAAATTAGATTATATCGGCACTGTGTCCGTATTCTAGGTGGCCTGGTCTCGATCCGGGAATGGGAAGTGTCTGAATCAATTTCCGTTAGTTCCACAAACGAGTGATAATTGCCTCATATATATCTTTTTCTGGTGCTCCAAATTCTAATTAAGTTTTAGGCATTCGGAGAGATTTGGTTGTTGACGATGAGCACCAAACGTCCAAGGTAGTCCTGATTGCTTTCATATTGATCGAACTTTTGGTGTAGCTTTATACCTTTTTTCCTCCATGCTAGTAGCATGAAGGAGCGTGGTGATGAATTCACATCAGGATAGAATAGAATAAACGTTCATCTTATGATATTAAATCATGGTTCGGTGCTATTCTTATGTTATGACTAACTTCTACTTTGTGACGGTCAAACCTAGTCATCTAGCTTATGAAAAAGTAAAGAAAACGAACAATATACCGCGAGATTTATGCTAACCCTCTTCTGATGCTGCATCTTTGTGGTTCAGTTCACTCATATTTTTGTAAAAATAACATGGTGAACTGCTCGAGTATTTTGAACAGAATAAAAGTGAACATCTAATCAATTTGATATCGCATTCTGCAGTAAAGCCCTATCAAAGTTCCAGTTAGAATTTATATACAATCTCTAATTCGGGCATCGCGCTCGAGTTGATCACTGTCCAATGAAACTCAGTGAATCCAACAACGATATCGAACCAAAATGGCAGCGTTCTACGTTTGGGCGAAGTAAACAGGTGAGTGACAGTAGAGTTAAACCGAATTGTGTAGCACTATGCGTAATTTCGTAATTTATCTATCTATTTATCATTATGATTGATGTGCTGAGTCAAAGTTACCGGAGAATGGTACTTCGCATTCAAAAGTTCATGAGTCTCTCTCTGTAATAACTCTGTCGACGTTCCTCATTGATCCACTTCCGGGCTAGTTATCTTCTATCATATCCAAAACGAGCATGGCATCTAGGGATCTGGAGAACCAGAAGGTTTGATTTAAAGCTTAAAATAAATGGTGTTTGGAGCTTTGAAAGTAATAGAATTAACGTAGCTTAGTAAGCAAGGAATTGCAACATACTGTTTAGTGCAGAAAGTTTAGATTTCTCCACTAAAATAAGAATGTTCATTGACCTGTTCGTGTTCTGCCAGAATGTGAGGTACATAGAAATTTAATTCCTCTAAGTTTTTTTGTATACAGACCAATTGGAAATAGTTAGTTGTGGAAGTTTGTAGGACCAAAGATTTAGTCGAGGTAATTTGAAAGATATAAGATTGTTAAAAGTGATAACCTTACACCATTTGACACTAAGTGTGTCTTGGCATCAATTTAAACTGTTATTTCAATTTAAGATTGGAGAGATCTTGCGAAGTACTCTAGAGTGCATCTGACTCAAAGAGTTTATCTAACTAATAACAACTCAATTTCGTTTACATCATGATTGGAACAACTGCAAATCCTTGTCGCATTATCATGTTGACGAAGGAGTTTAATAAAAGGATGCAAACGAAAGAAAGGACGACATCCCACCCGATATTATTAGCGTAATTTATTTAGTTACGGGAAACTTTCTCAGTTTTCACTTCCGTGACTAATACGGTCAAACTCCTTCGTTCACCGCACATAACAGAAAGCTGTAATCTCATTGATTGAACACGGAGTTGTTCAGTTTGTAGTAAAATAGTGACTAGATTGATTTAAGCACAACTTTCACAGACGTGGATGATACCTCAATTACTGTATAAAGAAATTAATCTCAAAGTGGTTCCCATTTCTGGGTTGGCCAGATTTCTTTTTTCCTTCCAATGTGTCATTTTACAGCGTCCCATAAACAGCACATGTCCGTTATACCTGTTAGTTACATGTCCACCATTGTTGGGGAACAGTAGTTCCATTCCGTCCCGCAGACAAGTCGGTTATTCAGAATCATTATTCATTATTCTGCTTGGCAAGAGACTGTCATTGTACTAACAGAAAATCGTGCGTTGACCCTGGAGAAATTCAAATTCAAAGGGTTGCCGACACGCTTATTTTGAATTCACTTTTTGTTTCTCACAGTCGCTGGAGTGAGATTGGTTTTCAGACCATTCAAAGACTAACTTACCGCTTGAGAGTGAACAGAGTGCTGGTAAGCTGTTTGCATCGGGCCAGAGCCTCTTCGATACGGCCAAACTCGTTCTCGATGAACCTGCATGAAAATGCGGGGTGAAAATTGAGAAAGGCTTTCATTTAATTTTAGCCAACTAAATAATCTGATAAGTCAACGTCAAACGATATATTGATAATTAATCAGTTCCGTCAAATAGTTAGCCAATCATTCTGGTAATCGATCAAGCCGTCCATCATCCAACATTTGTTTTCCTTTCTCCTCGCAGTCTTTTAGATGATCAGACAGTATTTCACCCAGTCCTTCTTTTCGCTTTTTACAACTTTTGCTCATCTGGTATGACTATTATTTGCGCTATGATTTCTGACTGAAATAATTCTCCCTATACGTTTGTAAATTTTTGTGACACAATTGGACCATGGTGTTTTTCAAGCCGTGTTCGCCCATCTACCATGTGGTTTCCACCAGCTTTCGATTCAGAGAATAGATAAAAAACATCCTTTCAAACTATGGAACATCTGTTAGGTGCAAATGAAAATAGATAGACCCAAAACAAGTGTATTCGGTAAAATGTCGCCATGTGGAAAATCTCGATTGCTATAAAATCCATTAATTGGCCAGTTTCGTATCATCAATGGTGTAAAAACAATGCATTCAAGAAATACGTTTTGCAAATTGATAACGAAAGCCTTTGGAGTGTGGTATGATTTGAATAATTTTGAGTACAGAAGGAATAGATGAAAAGATCAATGCAAGGCGATTCGTATGCTGTTTTGTACACCGTTTCTTTGAACTTCCTAAAGACGCCAAATAACTGTAACCAAATCCTTACTCCTTCCGCCAGCCCCCTCCTCCTCGAAAAGAAGGAATAATTAGCTCTTCTGCACTGGAGCAGTGGTTTTCTATACATGATGGCTCACTGTTAAAGGCTTCCACTATAAGGAATAAAATGGAATGCCAAATAATTTTGCTACACGTTCATGATTTACACTATCGTGTAAGTGGGGTAACGTTTGGAAATATGAGTTAGTGATCCACGTACCATTTTGTGCACTGCGTGTACTGTTCAAGTAGAAACGTACCAAATTAATTCAACAAAGCCAATATTTAGTAAGGTAGATGCTCCAATATTCTGCTCAGTTTTCTTCAACACAGTATCAACTTGAACATCGGTTAAATCAGCGTAACTTTAGCAAATTAGGTTGCTCATCATAAGGTTTAAAATTATTTGGTTGGTAACCACTCAAACCTTTGATCTCTTTCGGATCTTTTTGGTTTTATTCACTTTGAGGCCTAACGGATTTGGAATAGTTACAATCCAATGAAATCCCTTGGAATTTATACGAAACGGCTTTATTTGTTATCGAAAAATGACTGGGTGTGTTTTCCGGAAACGTTGTCATAGTATAGTCGCGTCTCATGTAATGGTCTAAAATTCCTATTACCTGTACATAATAAATTAGTCCTATATTTTTCCTATGGTTAACAAATTTGAAAGAATTAATTATTTTTGACCTGTTTTCCTTTGGCTGCTATTCACCAACACGTATCACTATCACCTATTACTAACGGTGATCTGGAGAGAGTCACTCGTGAAATGTACACCTGTTTTTCCTATCTAGTGTTTTAAATCAGTTATTGGCTTTAAGATTGTTCTAATTTCGAGTTAGCGCATTATTCTAAAGCATTTAACTAATACATGTGAAAGCTCCTTGAGTTTATAGACGAAGGTTTTCATTCCAATTGTAATTCAGATTCAAGTTTCACCTTACTTTTGTGCTTTACACACAAAAATTATGCCCAGAGCGTGTATGAAGAAAATCACGACAGGAGAACACATTTGTAACAAAGTAGTGCTGGGCCCAAAACTGCTGGATTACTCAAACTGAAGCTTATGATTTGACTACACGTTCACAATTGGAGCCTTTTGCTAAAAAAAGCAAAGGAGGGCAAGGCAGCTAGGAGATGTGTGTGTTTGTCCGTGTCTGCGGTTAGCTTCCAATCTATCCGTGGTGCCATATATTATATTCGTTCGTGGTTCAACATTTCGAGCCCCATCGATCCTCACTTCGACGATTTCCTGCAAGCGGGAGGTTTGGAATCATGTTGTTTTGATTTTCCTTGACGATTTAGTTGTCTATAGCTCATCAAACTAGCGGCAGTTCCAGAAAACGGCTTTTTAATCTCTGAATTTATTACAACTACACGCCATGAGTTGTTATGAGTGAAAATTATCAAACAAATGTTGTAAGAAGTGCAATCGGTTGAAGCTTTTCTTGGGATGGAAACGAGGCGTCATTCACTCCCGATGCTTGGAAAACGTGTTCGTCGAAATCGGAGACAACGTTATCATTCAACTAAGGGTTTCTCATAGAACACCTTCAGGTTTGAAAAGTATGAAACGTTCAGTGGCGTTGTTGGTGGGATTGGACCGCACACATGCACACCATCTTTGTCAAAATTTTCACAATTTGTTTCAAACATAAAAGGTCAGTCTGCCAAACAATATTTAAACCGTTTCCGGTAATCAGTGTGTGCACAAAAGTGTCGCGTTGTTCCCTCACCATACAAACGAAACGTAGTCGAACACCTGAAGTGAAGATGTCGTGCAACAGAACGTACAGTTTATTCATCTCATGCTCTGACCAAATCACAGCTACGTATCTCCTTTGTCGATACCATCCTCATGACACTACTGATTTATGAGTAGTGATTGAGGTAAAGTTGTTGAAGAATAAGAAAATGTCCGGGAAGTCAGTCACTGGTTTTCATGTTAATGCATCCGTATTGCTACAAAAAATGGAATGCAAATGACCTTGACGATATTGTCATTAACCCTTGTCGAAACTTTGTAGTATTGGATACATCGCGAATCAATCTGATCAATGTAAAGTGGGTGTTTCATCAAACATCGTCCTGGAACACTGCAAACCGAAACAGCGAAATGCCCCCAAACCTCAATCGGCGGGTAATTGTTTTCGAGAGTGAACACCGTGTGAGGGTTCTCTGGACGTCTTATAAGCAACACGAACGACTTTCAAGGTAACTTTTGCTAAAAAAACATGTTGACTGCAATTTTCAATGTACCATGTTCTATTCTGGAGTGGTTTGCGTTCATAACCCGTTTGATATGTTGGTACTTTAATTCTCGTACCCTTTTTGTTTATAGCTTTTCCGTGAACCTCTACTCAAACGAACTTGTGTTTATGGATGCTTTTAGAAAACACTGAGGCTCTATTCATCTTGAACCGCTTCGCATATCCGTACCGGCGACATCTTCGTGCCCACACTGGCAGAAGCATTTTATACGAGCGAGAAAGGGTGATCATATACATTGTGGCTGCAATGATGTAAAAGCCCTAATTGGTAAGCTCAAAACAGAGAGGGCGTAACCCACTGAATCCAACTGCATCAGATGCCATTCAACGTTAACTGTTCTTATGGACTGTTTTTCTCAGTCTTTTCTGATGACGGCATAACGTAAATCTTGGAGTTAACTAGTATCGCTTATCACGATCGGGAGCAAATTCACCTCTTATTTGGTGCAGTTCCATTTCAAGAAAAATACAAATAGTATTAATAATAATAATAATAATCTAATTTGACATTCGCCTTACTCTTGAACTGCGACCATTACTGTGAACCCATCGTTGTGTAATACTAGCATTTTGATGCTCACCTGTTTTGCTTGAATGCCTCTGTCATTGTGGTAAAATAAATTTCACTAGGCCAGGTTCTGCAGCCCCTCGATGCGCTATGTGCTTGAAGAAATTTTCTCGGTAAATACTTTCCGCCTTGCACGTATGTCTGTATTTCACACGCTTCTCATCAAATCGTATTTGCGGTCGATTGAAACAAAGATGACTTTTGTTACCTCTTCTTTGTCTGTCATTGATTATGCAATTAACTGGAATTGACATAACGCGTGGTGTTTTCCTCCACTGTGTTTACGTGTAAAAAATTGTTTCTGTAAACGTATTGCAATGTTGTAAGAAACGATCTACAAGTGAAGACAAACATCTACCTATTTATTTTCATCGGTATTGTCATTCAATTCGTGTAAAATTTTGTTGCATTATTCCAAATTTTTACCAGAATGACAAACCGATGGTAAAAATATTTTATCGAAGAGAATCTTAAACAAACATTAAATAGCTACAAAATGCTGAGCAATAAGAGGTTCAAACACTGAAGTATTGTAAGTTAGGTAGTTATATCGATTTTCTATTCAATTTTGGGTTCTCTGACATCCACATGACAAAAAGCCGTACAGTCGTAGCCAAGTTGAAACAAACTTCGCACAAGCTATGTTTTGTCTCCTAGATGCTGTCGGTCTGCTGTTGAACTCCTACACTAAGTTGATTCGGGAAAACCAGTGGCTGTTTCAAGAAAGACTAGCACAAAGATATATATTCAAACTATACGAGTGACCAAGCTTAGATGCGCTTTGACAAATGTCAATACAGACCTTCGGGCAAACTTTCTATCACCAGAAATAAAGTAAATCTTCCAAACCTCTCTATGCCCAACTGGTCACGAGATCTGATCGCTTTCGACTACGATTCTGTTTTCCGCCCAATAGAATCTTCCATACGTAACTGACTAAAATTTTGGTTTCTTCAGAAACAATCAAACAATCATCGCCCAATTCTTATCATCTTGATGATTCAAGTAGCTGGATAAATCCGTGTGATATTATAACTAATGTTCAACAAGCTTCCTCTACTATCGCGGAAATAAAGTAGTTCCTTCGAATTTAATTTGAAGTCTGTTATAGTGACTCCATTGACAACAAGCAAACTAAAGCAAACGTTGTGCTTCACCATCCCAGACTAATTAAATACATTTGATGGGTAAACCAGGAATTGCTGCTTTAAAAATTCTGCACCGGGGCACTTAGAGCCCCGAGGAATATCACTTGCAACGCACTATGCCATTTGGCGTTACTATCTCACTTTCTGACCCTGTTGATATCCCCAATATTGGTTAAGCAGAGATTGATAATTGGTCTATATTTGTGTGGTACCAACGACCTTTAAAGTTTTCACCAAACACCCCTCACTCGTTGTGAATGTGGTTTGACGTTGGAGAGTAGTACTGAAACTTGGGGAATCAGCTAATCTTCAAGTAGCACTTCGCAGAACGCATATATGTGGCCTATTATCACAATATCTAACTGAACATGTCTAAATGCGAAGTTTCGTTGTTGTGTCACATTGGGCGTTTTTAATGCGTTCCAGTGAATTAATTACTGCATCAAGCTGCATTACCGCTGGCGAGATCTGACATTGTTGTATTTATTGCTTCCGTGTGTCCTAAAACGTTTTAAGGGAAACCGGGTAACTTGTATTTGGGCCACACTAGGCCACCTTTATACATGATTTTGTTGTATAATCGAACATATGCGAAACAATTCAAGTTATGAACCCACATTTAAAGTGAGATTACAAATTACTGGACCGGTTGGAAAGAACAGCTCCCACTACCTTCAACGGAGAGTATTCCAATTACTCAACGCCTTCCCACCCACGCCCGGAAGCAGAATAATTCAATTTTCAGTTGGATAGTGCATAATTAAACCTTGTTTTCAAATATCCACAAATCCGGTTTATGCTTATGAATGAATATTTTCTCACAAGCTTGGCAGTGAACCTGATTGGTACTTGTGTAGATTCTTTTCGAACAATTCAAGGAAGTAGTTAATGGGACCAAGGTAAGCTCTGGATATAAAATTAAATGTGCGAAGTTTAGATTCGCCTCTTCATGATTGAAGGTAAACAGAATGTAAGCTGTGATATTGAGTTGCTCACTTCCGGATAGGGCTATTAACGCCGCACCACAAGCACCAGATCTCATGCCCGAATCCATTCAATAAAACATATTCCAAACTTCGACAATGTGTAGGATCCGATGATCGAGTGAGCTCATACCAATACCATACTCCTAGTTGGTTTTGTCCTTCAGTAGCGTGCAACGTCCCTAGTTGTACTCGACAAGAATGACTTAACATAAGCGGACCAAGTAGCTCAGCCTTAGATGCGGATTTGACCTATCCCAGTGCAGTGCGGGGAAGGCAGCTTAAATACAGCTAACTGGTGGATTTCGTTTGCCTACATAAGTCAGGTGGCTGACTGATCTGTCGGTATGGCCTCGTAGCTCAGCTGGTAGAGCGTATAGTGAGCGGTGAACTTAGGCGACCGCCATGCTTGAGTTTGAGTACCGCAAAGGTTGCTGAACTTTTCACATTTCCAACATGATGCTAATCTACCCAACAACATAATTTGATTATCTAGTTATTTGAATTTTCTCTTCATGCTATCCTGATCACATTGCATGTGAAATTTAAATAGATTGAAAAATCGAGGTTCCTTAAAATTCATCGTCACTTTTGAATTGATTACTTCGTTGCTCTGTGCTCATTTGACCATAATCCAGTCGATTGGTTATTGTGGATACCAAGAAAGAGACATCTTCCGATCAGATACGATAGTTTACAGTTTGCAGTTCACTGTCTGTTAAATCTTTTCCTCAACTCAGACATTTTATAAGTTCGAATAATCCAGATCTTTGGTTCTCGATTCAGACGCGCGGTAACAAAACGTTAGATTTCAACTGCCAAAATTGCCTTTTTTGGTTTAAAATCCCGTTATTTGTTTTTAGTTGAACGTTACTACACTCGCCTTTGCGAATTTGTGTGTGTGTTTGCGTGCATATTGTGTAAATTTGGAGATGGGTGTTCTGAATTCGAAAGGGTACCACAAGGCAAAAATAACTTCTTTGCGTTTTCGTCTGTATTCATTGTGCGTATGCCTGTGTGTGTCCGTGGATGCGTTCTTCTCGCTGTGTGTATTTGTGTGGGTGTGTGACTGTTTATCTGTCTATCTAATTATGCATGTATGCGTGCGTCATTTGGCTTCCAGTAAGGAATGCGGGCGAGAGGATATCATCAATGGGTAGAACGAGAGACAGAAGAAAACCGGAACTAGTGCAGCATTATGACATCTGACTATTGTCAAATGTGCATAATCGGCTGTCATGCTCCTGAACCGGAAACCCAATATCGATCCCACCCAGTCTCTCGCTATCCGATGGGCAACAAGTGCACTAACTAAATAACCAACACGAAAAGGGTGGAAAAATGGGTTGTGGTACATAAAACTCTAACTGGTAACTGATTATCCATTTGTTCGCCTAAAGTTCTGCAAGAAAACTCCGGG